TATTCTGACACACATGGGGTCACCATAAGTCAGAATTGACTTGACAGCAACTGAAAAGAAAAAAAGGTATTTTCCTGTTACAATCCTAGTAGGGATACTACTACTTTTGGTGATTACAAGAGCTTACACTCGTGCTTGATTTTCTTTCCTGAGTATTATTAGTTACTTGTTACTTAAAAACCTGCAGTTCATTTAATTGGGGCAGTAACTTTAGTTTTCTAGTTTTATGTATAAAAAGCATCTTCTTTTTCTTATTTAACATGATTTGATTTGATAGATGAAGTTAGTTCTTGTGGCTACATTGTTGCTCCCAAAAGTCTGCTGGGATTCTATCAAGATATGGTCAGTTAGCTATTTTGCATTTTAACATAAATATTTGCAAATTATCTTAAATACTTTAAAAAGATTTTGATAGCTAACATAAGATTATACGGAAATACCTAGGCAGAATGGATGTTTCTTTGGGGATTTTGGGAATCTAATCAGATAGTAAGGAGCACTTGTGACGCAGTGGTTAGGCACTCAGCTGCTAACTGAACAGTCAGCTGTTTAAACCACCAGCAGCTCTTCAGGGGAAAGATGCCCAGTCTGCTTCCATGAAGGTTACAGCCTGGAGACCCTATGGGACAGCTGTTGGACTGTCTCTTACAGTTGCTATGAGTTGGAATCGACTTGATGGCAATGGGTTTCTTTTGTTGTTGTTGTTTTGTTTTTTTAAATTTTAATCAGGTGTTAATTGTTGAGATTTTGGGGGTTTAAAAGTGTAGTATGACAGTTTAAGCTTTAAGAATATCATACATTAAAAAGTCAGTGAAGAAAAATTATCTTTCTGTGATTCTTAGCCTTTATGTATTCCTTGTAGGGATTCAGTGTTTATGTATGTGGCTGTCCTATTGGGAGTTTGATTTTAGGAGTCAGCAGTACCATGAAATTGGTAGATATCTCAGTGTTGTCAGAAGTAGATTTCTTTATATAAACTCATAATGGAGAACAAGTGACATTGAAAACCAATTTTTTAAAAGTAGCCTGCCCACTTTTGAGTCACTTAGGTTCTTAAATCTACTGAGAGTAGGATATGAAGCCACTTAGTATTTTAACATTCTACAGTTTGGGACCAGTATTTTAGGAAATAACCTATCAGTTTACACCTATACACACACACACACACACACACTAAATGATTTCTGGTTTTGACCTTGAATTTTGTCCTTCTCTGGAAAATGACTTTTTCAAGCAAATAGGATAACGCTTATTATTTCCACTAAAATAGTAGTTTTTATTATTATTTTTTTAAATTTGAAATCACAAAACTCTGGAATATGCAGCAAGTACATATCTAGCCTAATTTATAAAAATGAATATAACTGGACTTATTTAACTAGAGATATAAATATATTTAATGAGAATAGTCACCCTGCTGAATATTTCAACAGCCATGAGTAGGGTTGTGATCAAAATAAATTGTGAAAAATAATTCATAAATTTGTAAATAGTCACTGTCCAGTGTTAGACCATCACCTATGTTGTTTGATTTAAATTTGTTTACATTATAAAAAACTCACTGTGATCAAGTCAGATCTGACTCATAGCACAACCCCTCCTTGGGTTTCCGAGGCAGTATCACTATGGAAGTAGATTGCCCAACCTTCCTTCCGAGGAGTGGCTGGTGGATTTGAACCACCAGCCTTCTGGTTAGCAGTCAAATGCCTTAGGCACTATGCTACCAGAGCTCCTTTAAGGGAGTCACAAAAATTTTTCTCAAGCAATCTGTGGTGTTGCCCTGAAATTCTTATACTCAAGGTCATTTTCACCAAACAAATATTATTCAGAAGGGGTAATATATTAAATCATTGTTAGCCATTACCCAAAATTAAACCCATTGCCATCAAAGTGATTCCAACTCAGTGACCCTATAGGACAGAGCAGAATTGTCCTCTAAGTCTATAAAGCTTTGCATAAGCAGACTGCCACATCTTCTTCCCGTAGAGCAGCTGGTGGGTTCAAGCTGCCAACCTTTTGGTTAGCAGATGAGCACTTTAACCACTGCACCACAAGTACTCTTTTGTTAACCATTAAATGAAAAAAACCAAATCCTCTGCCATTGAGTCAATTCCAACTCATAACGACCCTATAAAACAGAGTAGAACTGCCCCATAGGTTTCTAAGGCTGTAATCTTTACAGAAGCAGATTGCCTCATCTTTCTCCCATGGACCAGCTGGTGGGTTAAAACCATTGACCTTCCGGTTAGTAGCTGAATACTAACCACTGTACCACCAAAACACCAGTTAACAATTAGTTACTGCTTAATTGTAGCTGTTTTATCCAAATGGGCCAACCTGTCAGTTTGGGAAAGAGATGAATACATAATACACATATGAAGAGGAGGAAAGCACAGCCTTTCCTTCCTTTTTCTTTTAATTTTTATTGTGACTTGGGTGAAAGCTTACAGAGCAAATTCATTTTCAATGTAGCAGATCATACACATTTTGTCTCGTGACACTGACTGCAACTCCCCACAATGTAATGGCTCTCTTCCCACTTCCTCCCCATAGTTACCTCTTCCCTGTGTCCTTCCCTCCCATGCGCTTTTGCCCTCTGAGCTGTCTCCCTGTGCAAACACCGCAGTTCTGTTCTCCCATAATTGATTGCTTCAAGGGGTGTATCTACTTGATGTAATTGTTCACCCCATACGCCTGTCTGTTGTTTGTCTGGAAGCCACAGGAGTGAGTTCAATTTCAGACCTGAAAGGTGACTAGGGGCCATAGTCTCAGAGGTCTCACAAGGCTCTATCAGACTAGCACACCTGGTCTTTTGTGTGTGTGTGTGTGT